ACAATGTTTTCTCTACATAGATGAAATAACAGGTGTACTTGCACAAACTTGGAGGCTAGGACTAGTTCGTTGTTGTAGAGAGCAGCAGATGGTGGTCGGCACGGAGATGAAGGGTGTGCTGCCTCAAGCGGTGCGGTGGTCTTCTACAGCTGCACTGGCTGTCGTAGAGCTACCTGACGTATGATTTGCGTCCGTGTTCTTCAGGGGTGGTCCGGGTGGATATATAGCTAGCCAGTGCTTCAAGTGGCAAATGTAGTACTCACAAGTGTTTAGGATCATAGTCAGGTATTATGTTGTAAATCATGGTTAATTAAGTAGCAAAATGTACACGGTTTTTACGATTGAAATTAATATACTGAACATCTATTCACTTGTCAGCAAATCATTGTATTTTTTAAACATAAAAACCTATTCAAGCTTTCGTAAATTTTAGTACCTTTTACACTTGTGCAGTTGCATAAATAGATTGTGATTGTAAAATATTCATGGGTGTGGGTTGATTTTTCATTGCAAATCATTGCATCCAAACTGCAAATCATGAAGTGGGATTAATATTGTTCACTCACAAAGATCACGATCGTGCTTCGAACTGCCAGCTACATGTACACAATATTTTTTGTGGAATTGGTTATGAAGTCGTAAAATGTTCTTATCATGTGCTCGGATTTAAATCAAAAATACCAATGAGAATGAACTGCCTGTGGCAAACTCGCGTCATAACACAATCAGAATTAACCTTCAAATAAAAAGTTTTTTTTTCCAATCAATCAATTAGCTTTTACATTCATATGGTTGGTTTTTACTACAAAAGGTTGAGACCATAAAACAATAATATTTTATGGTCATATAAAAAGTTATTATGGTTAAAATGTGACCTGAGACAAAACTAAATCCAACCGTAAAAATATTGAGGTTGCCTAGTTGTCAGGTGGTTCAAACTGGTTATTGTCTCTTGTTCATTTCTTAACCGTAAAAAATATATTCAACCAACAATAAATTTGATTGCTTTTTACACTCAGGCACTTGTATATTCACTTGTAACAGTAAAATTTTACAATTGTACGGTTAACTGTTTACGATTAAAGGTTGTGACCATAGAACATATAAATATTTTATGATTATATAGAAACCCTTTTATGATCTAAATGTGACCGAGATAAAACCATAATCCAAGGCAACTCAGAACTAACAAAATGGGATGTGTTGGTGCATGGAATCAAGGCTTTCAAGGTTTAACCCACTGCCACTGATGGAATTGTTTTTTTTATCTTGCGGGTATGAAAGATTGTTAATTTATCTGGATGACAATGAAATGAATGTAATACTCGGATTTTATGATTTGCTACTGTTTGTGCTCTGGGGTGCCACTATTTATACAAAATGTATTTGTTACTGAGATTGCACAATATAAATAATGATTTTTCTTGTGAGGTTTTTATACTCACAAAAAGATTATTTGAAAATGGAGTAACTTAAGTGAACTTGCATATGTTTTTATATTCCATTTTAAACCGCATTCATGCATATATTTGGAGTAGAGCACTTTCACTTTGAGGATGGAAGATTGAAAATATAATAACGCAATCTGTGAAGTCGCAAAGTGTACCATTGTTTTTTCTAATACACACGTTTAAAAAATAGAGTGTGTCGGTTATTTCTGTTCACAAGAAGTGTAAAATCTTATAATGCAATAGCAAATAGGTTGAATTTCCACGGTACCACCTTGTAGCAAATATTTCAAGATTGTTTGCAAAAAGAATTGTGGGATAGAATTTTTACACTTGCATATACACATGTTTTACTATCGTGAAGCCTGAGATTTTGTGGTCACGATGAATTTTATGATTGTGCATGTGCGCGAATTTATGATCTCGCTTTTTGAATGGTATAAAAAGTTTAGTTCCTAGTGACACAATTCATACATATAACATACCTTTGTTATTTGCTCTTGTTTTCCCTATCACAAAATCTACCGATTTTGCGATTATGCTGTCCATATTTTAGGACTTGACACCAATCAAGAATTATGATCTCAAAAATTAACCACCTATGGTCGCAAATGCAAGAACAATCAAACATTGGGATCATAAAAACTTTAGACTATATTGATCGTAGCTATCTCCTTACAATCTTAATTATTGATTCTGTCTAGATCGCAAAAACATGGTCTGATTGATATTGTTCAGCCAAATGTGATTCTTTTGCCGTCAATAATGGGATTTTTGCCGCTAGCTCACGTTTATTTCAGGCAATAATCCTTTGCTATAATTACGATTTATTTATTGGGATTGTTGAGCTCTTGTGATTTAATAAAAATGGTATTGTCTGATTGATTGCTAGACGCCAAAGGAAAGGAATCTTCTGACTCTGCACACTCATACGCGCGTGCATGCAGATTAAATTAAGGACCTAATTAATATGGTATTAGTGTTGCGTTGATAACTGCATCATGCATGCAGTATTGCTACTGGTATGGTGCGGCACAGGAACCACTTACGTGGGCTGGGGTGTGATGTAATATATCACACCCTGAGTATGAATTAGCGCTGCCCTATTTATATATTTATATATTTAGCACAGGGGCTTCGATCAATGTCCCTGTAAACTGAAGGGGAAACTAGCAAAAAATTAAGAGCCATTGGCTTACATCAGGCTAGGCAGTGATATTTTAGTGGATCCTTCCCAAGAATGATTATCTTTAGTTTTTTTTCTGTTTAGAGAAAGACCATAGTACTTATTATATTCCTTTTGCTAAAGACAAGATGCAACAGAACATATATTTGGACATGGTTGTGCCCTGTGGTTGCTGGTGGGGCATCTTGGTTTGTCGGGGTGTGGAGCTCGTTAAAGTTTCTTCCTCGATTTGGGTCATGAACGTCGTCGTCAGGGAGATTGAAGTTTTTTCCTGCGTCAGCTTCTCATGAATGAACGGCCCGTTGTTAAACAAGAAAGGTGTATGTGGCACGTAAAAATAACAAAAGGATGAGTAGGAGTCGTTGTTTCTTCCGATGAAAACACTTTGTATAATAAAATGCAATAAGCACGGGGCACGCATTACTAAGCTCATGACAAACGGGCTCCGCCACTGCAGCCATGCATGCATGTACGTCTATGCATGCATGCATGTGTGAGTTTTCTAGTGACTTGCATGGTCCCACAGCCATGCAAGCATCTATCACTAGTAAATGCTTGGTCTTGGTTAATATTAATGCTGCACAACCCCGAAGGGTACCCCAGAATAATTAAAGTTAAGTTGTCAAAATTCTTTGTTTTGGATATTGACACGGTTTTCAAAACATAACTTTGACTAATTCTTTTTGTTATAAAATATTTATTAAATATAGTTGAAGTGTATTTTTATGAAATTATCACATTACTGAACTTAATATATAAAAATATATTTGCAATCAAAGTTTTTTTAAAAAAAATTAACTTAGAACAACTTCAAAACAACAAGAACTTTGATACTGGAGGGAACATAGTGTTTTGGAGTTCAATTTTTTCCCTTGATATATATAGAGCTTGAGACAGGGCAGAGGTTACCTAGGGCCAAAGGTGGCCATGCCCCCCCCCCCCCCCCCCCCCCCCCCCCCCGCCCGCGTGATCTTGAGAAAATGCTTAAAATCCACTTGTATTGCTACCTAAAATGCACATGTATACTAATCTGGCCCCCTTACCAAAGCTTCTGAACTGATCGGCCACCCCTATGAATTCCTCCAAGCTCCGCCACTGGCTTGAGAATAGGAGAAATTTTGAAGTTGGTCGAGGAGAGGGTTGGTGGAGGATGGGGTTGAGGTAAAAATGAAAAGTATGGGCTTGTTTGGCATGGCTCCAGCTTCGATATCCATGCAAGAGCTAGAGTTTGGAAATTAAATTAAAGCATTTTAGTTTATTATAGTTTTAATCTCAAACAAAAAGAAAACAACTCAACAAAAGATTCATAAATTATTTACAGCTTCAGCTGGAGCAGCTATTTTCTGGAGCTCAAGCCATGCCAAACAAAGAAATAATTTTTGTGTTTGAAAGCCAGAGGGCACTAAATTTAGAGATGGAGGTAGTATTGTCTGTTTGTTGCATGTGCGTTAGGAATGCGATGAGGTGACCACCTAGGGTATATTCTTTTTTTTTTGCGAAGAACACCTAGGGTATATTCGATCCGTAGATTTGGGAGTGGCTCCGTCCCTAAAATTGGCGGAGCGAAGCCATTCACTTTTACTAATCATGAAATACTTGCGTGTTTTTATTTACTACTGAATAATATATACATTAATATAAACTAATTTTTACAAGTGTTAATATGTAATTAACATGTGACGTGTCAACTAAATTGAGTATGATTAGTCAGCGACATTATTTTTCTAGTATTGATTAGTCATGACTATGGCATGATATAGGTTGTAGCATGTCTTAATCAGTGTAATATTAATTTATTAAAGTTAAGATTTATAATTAGACAATGATTTTTGTCCCACAATATCCTTGCCTCTTCTATTTTTTTTTGCGAGGGAATATCCTTGCCTCTTTGGCCAAACAAAAAAGAGATTATTGCCTGTCTACCCCTGGTTTGTACTAGCGCCGTCGACTTCGACTACATACTTGATGCACGCAACACAGGCAACACGCGCCTGCCAAAGGGAGCTAGCAGGACTCATCATACACATGGACCAGCAACTTAAAACAAATGGTTAATTCCTTTCAAGCCATTGAAAACTTCCTGTATCTTTTATTTGCCATCAAAACTTTGTTCTGCCCTAAGTGCTATTGTACTTAAATTCGTGACCTAAATTTTCCATCCACACCACTTTTCCAGGTTTGACTTTGACTCAAATTTCAAAATGCCCATCCTACCCCTCCGCTGCTTTGTTCACCGTGCCGTCATTTTCCCACTAGAGAGAAAGGCGCTTTCCCATCTTCTTAGCCCGAAATGAAATGGCTGAAGAGAAGAAGGTTCCTTTTGAGGGTACCCCCGGGAAGAGATCCGGTGGAGACGGGGTGGGCGTGGGCCTGTAGCTCAGAAGATTAGAGCACATGGCTACGAACCACATTGTCGGGGGGTTCGAATTCCTCCTTACCCACAGCCTTCCAAAGGGGGAAGGGCCTTTACTTTCTCCTTGAGGGTAGGAAAATCATGATCGGAGTAGCAGACGTAAATCATAGTGAACACGGTCACACACTCCTTGCCGTAACACAACGACGACACGCCATCCACGAATCTCAGCACCATCACCGGCCGCGCCTCTTCGTCCCTGATGCCCTCCAGGTCTCCATGAGAGGATCAGCGACTGCGAGGTGGTGTGCACGAGCAGCGGACGTGCTTACCGCAATTGCAGCTCACATCGGCATGACGATGTCCTTGAGAACGACAGCTAAGCACTAGCTATCCTGAACAAGAATCAACCCACTAGTGCTACCGATTATACCGGCAGCAAGAACAAGGCCGAGTCCTTGCCGTAAAATTAATATAGCTGATTAATGAAGAGGAAGTGCCTTGGTCTCAAAAAAAAAAAAAACATCGATGACGACGCTTCGTGTCCGACTAGGATTTGATTAGGAATCTGACTAGTCCACCGCCTCGACCTCAATCTCGGTCCCATAAAAAGAGGGTACGTCCAGCTAGATAGGGTACAATTCCCGTTGGAGATCGAGGTCGGGCCGCGCCGCGCCCATCGATCGATCGGCACTAAAAACGCCGACCTGCGATCGTCGCCTTCATCGACCGACCGCCACACAAACACCGAAGAGGACACCTTGGGCGAGGAAGAGGTGGGCGACTAGAAGCAGCAGCCCAAGCAGCCAACAATGGACTCCGGCGAGGAGTGGGCGGAGCTGGAACCTTTCTTCTTCGACGAGGCGGAGGCACTCACCGATCACGCGAGGCGGGCGCCGAGAGAGAAGCTCAAGGCTCAGCGACGTCAGAAAATGATGACCACCTTAGATCGGATCCGACAGTACGATCCCAAGATAGGTCGCGTCATCTACAACAAAATCGACTTCGTCGATCTCAGGTCATTCGACCACGACGAGGAGTGTAAGCCTTTCTTTCTTTCTTTCTTTCTTTCTTTCTTTCTTGCACTCTCTCTTTGTTATACTACATGAATAATCCAACTTAATTGTAATAATTTTCTTTCATTCGACTGCAGCACCTCTTGGTCCAATGAGGGACACGGAGGCGTCAATTGATATGGTGGGCGACAGTGTCTGCAAAGAGGGCAAAAAACAGCTCGTCGTTCAAGGTGATCATGAATCGTTAAACGACGCCCTCTCTGTGAATGTTAGTGAAAAACTGTTTGTTCCATGTAACTCTGCAAACGTCCTTTCGGTGAAGATAGTCTCCTCTGACGTTGGCTTCCCGATACAAGTGTACGGCACTGTCATTGCCAGAGACATGCTCGATCGAAAGTGTGTTTATCTCTTCCGCTGTGACAGAGATCATAGCCACATCGTCCTCAACAAGGTACGCACCCTGTTGTTTGCACATACCATTTTTATCGTTAACAGTACCATTCTCTGTGCAGTCACATATTTAGCATTTTATCTTTAACAGTACCATATGCAGTTTGAGTTCGAGTTACACAATATTTCGCTAACATGTGTATTTTTTCATAGGATGAAGAGTTGATCCTGACTGGCCCAAAGCGAGGACTTGCACTTATAGATGCTATATATATTGAGGTTGATTTGAAGATCAAGGGGGAAGGAAAGCGGAAGAAAGACAAACAACTAAGTAAAGGGTATTTGACATTGAGTGGCTTGGCACGTCACTTTCGAGACGAGATGGAGGTTGAAAGTTACACTCTTGAGTCTATGCTCAGTACGGTGGTGGTGATGTGTGCCGTTGAGAAGCGTGCGGTGGAAGCCACTATTGCGATTGAAGTTGTCCAAGGAAAATTTTACGGAGAAATCACGGCTTGCACCACCAACATCCTGGATAGCATTGTACTTCATGATAGCAAATTGATAAGTGCAGCAATGACAGGTGGAGCCCTCCCAATGTTGCGGCGCGTCGTAGCTGTTGGTCTGATGGAGAAGCTGATTGTAACTATCACTCCGGCTGGTGTTTGTAAAGCTGAACGTGAACGCACAATAAAGTTTACTCCAAGAGTCAATAACAGAGATCAAGCAGAGATAACCTGTGGTAGCTTGAAGATGCACGTGAAGGTTACTTGGTCGATAGTTTCACGTCTGTATTTGGATTTAGATTGATAGGGCATCCGCAGGCTTAGATATGTGGTTCTGTCAGATATAATGTGCAACATGATCGAATGTTATAGTCATTACGTATTTGAGATATAATTCCTTTCAAGCCATTATTGAATACATCCCGTATCTCTGATTTGCCAGAAAATAACCATGTAAATTTGGGGAAAAAAAATTCGAATTTTCCCCAACTCCCCACCAATTATGAGTCAAATTGTGTCATTTGGTCCCCTCTCATGATCAATTCATGGTTTTGCCCTGAACCGGGGCATGCATGTTAACTGGAGATTTTTATATGCTAAATGTATATGCATGTGCTTGCAAACAGCCCAAGCTCAAACAGAAGACCACATAGGTAAGCATGTACTGGGTTTTGGATATGAGTATCAGTAAGAATTTTGTACATTTAAAGGGTAACATAAGGCATTGTGAATACCTGAGACGTGCCACAATTAGAATTGCTCAGCATTTACAATATTTAACATATAAGGGAAGGACATATGACGGTAACATAGGGCACGAATGCGGCGATGCATGGCGTGCTCTGCACTGCAATTATATGGAGGCGAGCAAGGGGCTTGAAGAGCTTCTGGTATCACCTTGAAGAGTATGGTCTTAAAGCAGACCGTCAAATTGGAAGGCAACTTGCATATGCTCCAAGATATATAGGAATCATGTTTTAGTTTTATCTTCAGATGCGGTAAAAAATGAGCCTGATACCCTGACACAGAAAAGCAACATATGTGTGAGCAAGTAAATTAAGAACTGCCCAATGAAAACACCATGGACTGAACAAGAATGAAAGCGGAAACAAAGTCACAGGGGGGCATATTCAGAAAAAAAATATTTGTAATTCTACATAACTGCACAATGAAAAAAACTACTTAAGAACTGATCATTATGACACCACACCAGAAAAGACTATTTAAGTACTAATTTTTATAAACGCTAACCAACACTCTCTCCAAGGACAAAAACAAATAACAACAAAAATTGGTTGCCTCTGAACTGAGCAATCAAAGTTCAGTTCGGGGAACTTTGCTCAAAGATTATTTGTTAGTAGTTGTCACTGAGCCTCAATTTAAAATCTAATCCAACCATTGCCCTGAAGCAATATACATGATGGATGATTCTACAGAAAATTATTTTGTTCGTGTTATTCAGAATGGTTAATAGAAGTGTAAACTAACAAATCGATTTGAGACTCAAATAATACTAACACAAAGTTTAATAGAGAAGGTACATCACTCCTCCATAGGCACCAGAGAGTTTTGTTTGCATCCCCCTCATCATGAGCCGCTGGACGTCGTCCTCGCCGCTAGCGTTGAGGCCCGTGAGGCGCGCCTCGAACTGCCGGAGGGCACGGCGCGGAGACGGCGTCCAGTATGCCAGGAGAGAGAGAGAGAGAGAGAGAGAGAGAGAGAGAGAGAGAGAGAGAGAGTTGGTGCTACTAGAAGAAAGCGTCCGCCCTTGCCACCCGGGATTCATCGCACTCACGTACGCGGGTTGAAACAAGTTCTCGCGCACCCCCTCCCCTTCCCTGCCTTCTGTCTTTTTCTGGGTTATATTTTTCTACGGTTCAGATCGGTTTCGTTCTTTCGTCCCTGCCTCGGTCATTCCTCTCCCTATCTTCTTTTTGGTCTCTCGCGGCGGCGGCGGCTGGCGATTCTCACGGCGGCCGGCGATTCTCGCGGCGGCACCGGCGATTCGGAGGCGGAACAAGTGTTCGATTCCCTCGTAGTGTGAGTTCTCATCCGCCTTCATTTCTCCTTCATATTATTTTCTCTTCGCTGATTGAGAACTGATTGCTCGTAGTGTGGTTCGATTCGTTAGTTTTTGATTCTTCCAGTCAGAAATAGCGCTGCGGAGGTCTCTGATTCAGCTGTGTTGTTCAGTTCTGTTGTTATTGTCTTCGTTTGTTGTCGTCTCATTGGTTTAGTAGCTTAGGGTTTCGATCTGTGGAATCATTTTTATTGTTAGGGTTTAGTACTTTGTTAGTGTTTGTGTATTGATGTGGTTTAGGTTACTCTATTTTATTTGCTCGTTCCATTGAACCGTTTGATTTATTGTTCGTGTATCTGTGTATCTATGTGGTGTCATGTAATTCCTTTAGAGTCTCTTTTTTGGGGGTCACAACTCAGTTACCTCCAGCCTTGGTACACTTCTTTGAACTCTGATGGCTAGTTTCAAGTCTGTGCGGAGATAATTAACCAACCAAGGGTTGATGCCTGCTTAACAGCCAACTGAAATGATGAAAGTTGTCTGGTGCTACTGCATGATATTAGGGGGGAGTGAATTAGAGTCCAACAAGGTTTTGGGGTAACAATGCATATTGCGTGGAGTTTTATAATTTCAGGTCATTGTTCTGTATGTGGTTGAGTTTTTAGTTACTCATGTGGTTTTATCTCTGTTGGGAGGTTATTTCAACAAACTAGGGTGAGGTGGGATGGTTTTTGAAACAAACGAACTTATGAAGGGAGTTCCAACTCGAGCCAAGTTATGGGATGGAATTTGTAATTAAGACAAAAAAAATCAACTTCAACACGTGTCTAACGTTTCCTACGTGAAAAGATAAACGTGCATGAAGCCATCAGGCCTTCGACACATCTGTAATGCTCGTAACGTGAAAATATAAAAAAGGAAACGTCCATGAGGCCATCAAATATGAAATAAATCATCTTCCGCCAAGTAACATGGGTTCTCCATCACAAAATCTTAATCATTTTACGAAAACAAATCATCCTATAATCATGGATCGACCTTGTACTTTTTAAGAGGTAAAAGGTCAGCAAATCTAATTAATTAAAATGAGCGGTCCACAATTATTTTGAGGTACCGTACCTTGTTCTCGCCCTGAAAACAATCACATATGAACAAA